ATCCCGGATTCCGGATCCTGCGGATGGCGGATGGATGGATGGACGGCGCTCCGGGGGGGCGAGATGAGAGACGCACGGAACGTTCTTACCTCTCCCGTCTCCTCTCCCGTCTCCTCTCCCGTCTCCTCTCCGCGCCGCGCAATAATGAGATCCAAAAAGATGGAAAATATCAAACCTCCCACGTCCTCCGCACCGCCGTCCCTGCAACGCACACACACCGCACACATACAACACGCACAACACACACACCGTCCCCACAACGCACACACACACCATACACACACACACCGCACAACACACACATACAACACGCACAACACACACACCGCACAATGCACACACACCGCACACCACACGCACAACACACACACCGTCCCCACAACGCACACACACACCGTCCCCACAACGCACACAGACCACACAACACACCCAGCACAACACACTGCACACGCAACTCACACCACACACATACAACACGCACAACACACACACCGTCCCCACAACGCACACACACACCACACAAACATAACGCACAACACACACCGCACTACCGTCCCCACAACACAACACACACAACACACACACCGCACAACCGTCCCCGCAACACACACACGCAACACACATACACACCGCACAACACACATCACACACACAACAGACACACCGCACCATCGTCCCCGCAACACACACACACACCACACAACAGACACACCGCACACACAGCGCACCATCGTCCCCGCAATGCACACACACCGCACACACACAGCGCACACACACCGCACAACCGTCCCCGCAACACACACACAACACAACAGACACACCGCACACACAGCGCACCATCGTCCCCGCAATGCACACACACCGCACACACACAGCGCACACACACCGCACAACCGTCCCCGCAACACACACACACCACACAACAGACACACCGCACACACAGCGCACCACTGTCCCCGCAACGCACACCCACGACGCACAACACACACCGCAACACCGCCCTTGCACCGCACACATGACGCACAACACACACCACTGTCCCCGTACCGCACACACAACACAAGTTTCGCATCCTTCACCTCAGAGGATCCAGAAAGTCGCTGCGACCTCACAAACTGCGCCAGACGCCACGACAAGCCGCTGGGCGTACGATGCCCATGAAATATGCAGACGCCGCGCGGAGAGGGAAGATTAATTTTTCATAAACATTCCTCACTTTAGGAGCGACGAGTGCGTCTCAAAATGACAAAACGCAGCGCGCGGAGAGACCCCATCCCCCCCTTCATTGTGCCGACACACAACCAATTTACCGAGTGGTCCTCAGAATTCCTCTCTTCCCGGTACCCCCAAAAACGTGTTTATTTGTTATCCTCGTCATCGGAAAATTTATCAGATGATAAAAACCCCCAAAATGACACCGGGGGGCCCCAATGACAGAAGTTCTGCCCAGTGACACTCATACGGCACCCCCTAGGTGGCGCTGATGAGTAATTCCTATACTTGTCAGCCATCTGGGGGTGCAATGCAAATGGGGGTGAGACTTTTATAACTGCCCCCCCCCCCCTCGGTTTGCTCTCCGCTCCG